TGCATATATATGATTATATATATACATATATATATATATACATATGTCTATATTTGTGTATATATATATTCATATATGTATATATTTATATATATTTATATATATTTATATTTATATATATTTGTATATATTTTTATATATTTATATATTGTAGTTTTGCAAATGCATGCAGAGTGTGTGTGCATGTGCAACAAGCACATGCTGCTGCAAACTCGGGCAAACAGCAGCCAATTGCATTTGCTGCTGCTGCTGCTGCTGCTGCTGCTGCTGCTGCTGCTGCTGCTTTGTTCGGTTGCTGCAGCCTCACTCTCCACATGTACGATGAACGAATAGCGAAGGCGCAGTCCGAATTTGCTGCTGCTGCTGTGCTGCACCGCCTCAAGGAGGAAAAGAACAGACACCCTCTTGTTCGATTTTCTTACAAGTACTGCTGCTGCTGCTGCTGCTGCTGCTGCTGCTGCTGCTGCTGCTGAGCTGGTGCTGCTGATGTTGTCGCTGCTGATCCACTGCTGTTGCTTCTGTCGCTGCGGATGAGCGGCTGCTGCTGCTGCTGCTGCTGCTTCTGCCTCTTTGTTGAGCTTCTGCTGCTTCTGCTGTTTCTCCGGCCGCACGCACTTGCTGCTGCTGCTGCTGCTGCTGCTGCTGCTGCTGCTGCACGTGCTTGCTGCTGCAACGAGTGTGGTGCGGGTTGCTGCTGCAGCGTAGTGGCTGAGCGGCAGCGGCGGCAGCTGCTGGAGCAGCGGCAGCGAGTGTCCGCAGAGCTGCAGCAGCAGCAGCAGCAGCTGCAGCAGCAGATTCGCCAAGTAGAACTTGAAGCCAAAAAGTTCAGCAAAACTAGAGAGGAGCAGCGCCGGCTTTTGAAAAGGTTTGAAGTTCCAGCAGAAGACGTTATCGCTGTGCGTTTTGCTGCTGCTGCTGCTGCTGCTGCTGTTGCTGCTGCTGCTGCCGTTTCTGCTGCTGCTGCTGCGGGCAGCGACGCATTGAGGTTTTTTCTTGTTGCTTCTGCCGTTTGCTTCTGCTTCCGATGGGGGCTCTCTGCTGCTGCTGCTGCTGACTGCTGGCTACCTCTGCTGCTGCTGCTGCTGCTGACTGCTGGCTGCCTCTGCTGCTGCTGCTGCTGCTGTAGGAGCCGCCGCCGCTGCTGCAGTTCAATGGCCCCACAGCCACTACCCTCAGCAGCGTGCTGCAGCAGCAGAAGCAGCAGCTGCCGAAGAGACAGGCGGAGCTGGTGGAGAGACACCTGAATGCCTACGAAGCCCCAAAGCCCACTTGCAATTCCTTCCCTGTTGTGGAGGCCTACACGTAGGCCGCTGCTGCTGCTGCTGCTGCTGCTGCTGCTGCTGCTGCTGCTGCTGCTGCTGCTCTTCCTGCTGCGGCTGCACTGTAGCTGTCGTTTTTTCTGCCGGGGGTTCAGTTGCTGCAGTTGGCTGCTGCTGCTGCAGCATCTCTTCAGTTTTTGTTGCCGAGGCCGCTGCGGCATTCGGTGCTTGCTGCTGCTGTTGCTGCTGCTGCTGCTTGTGCTGCTGCTGCGGACTTGCTGCTGCATTGGGCTGCTCTATATGCGGCACAGTGCCGCGGACTTGTTGCTCTGTTGCTGCTGCGTTGCTTCTGCATTGCTGCTGCATTGCTGCTGCATTGCTGGAGAATTGCTCCTGCATTGCTGCTACATTACTGCTGCACTGCTGCTGCGCTGCTGCTGCACTGCTGCTGCGCTGCTGCTGCACTGCTGCTGCACTGCTGCTGCGCTGCTGCTGCATTCGATGTCCAAAATTTGCGCAACTTTTTCTCAGGGCATTGCGAGGAGATGTTTCTGTTCTCGTTGCTTTGAAGATGCACATGGAAAAGCTGAAGGCAGTAAGCAGCAGCAGCAGCAGCAGCAGCAGCAGCAGCAGCAGCAGCTTTGCCGCAGCACGATATCCACGCCTCGCTGCTGCTTTGCGGTGTACGTACACCCCACAGGAACTCGAATTCTGGGAGCAGTCTGTTGCTGCAGCGCAGCACCCGCCAGAAGCAGCAGCAGCAGCAGGGAAGCAGCACTGCAGCAAGTCGCAGTCAGGCTCGGGATCACGCTCAAAGAGAGGTAAGAAGCTGCATTTGTTTGCTGCTGCTGCTGCTGCTGCTGCTGCTGCTGCTGCTGCTGGTGTGGTTGCTGCTGTTGCCGTTGCTTTTGCGACAGTTTGGTCACTGCAGCACAGGATGCAGCTCTTGCTGCTGCAGTTGCTTTGGCTGTGCTAAGCCACATTTGCTGCTGCTGCTGCTGCGTTGCAGGCTACGGAGCAGCACAAGGAGGAAGCAAAGCAGCAGCAGCTGCAGCAACGCAACAGCAGCAGCATCAGCCTATGCAAGTGAAGCAGCAGCAAGTGCATATGGGCGACCAGCAGCAGCAGATGATGCAGCTGTCTGCAGGCCACGTCAAGAAGCAGCAGGTGCCGCAGCAGCACATGCAGCAGGCTCAGCAGCAGCAGCAGCAGCAGCAGCAGCAACCACAGCAGCAACAGCAGCACATGTATCATGGAATGCAGCAGGTCCCAGCACAACCACCACAAATGGCTCAGCCGCTGCCAATGCAGCAGCGGCAGCTACAGCTGCAGCAGCAGCAACTGGTGCAGCAGCAGCAACTGATGCAGCAGCAGCAACTGATGCAGCAGCAGCAACAGCCGGCCGTGGGGGTGCACCCGATGCAGCAGCCCTACATGGTATCTGGTATGCATGACTTGCAGATGCAGCAGCAGCAGCAGCAGCAGCTGATGCAGCAGCAACAGCTGATGCAGCAGCAGCACATTATGCAACAGCAGCAGCTGATGCAGCAGCACCCGGGACAGCAGCAGCAGCCGCTGCTGCAGCCGGGTTCGCACTCCTACGCTCCCATGGGCGGCGTAGTGCCAATGCAGCAGCAGCAGCAGCAACAGCAGCAGCAGCCATCCAAGTGGGTTTTCCTGTTGCAGTTCAGCTGTTTGTTGCTGCAGTCGCTTGTTGCTGCTGCTTCTGTGATTTTGCTGCCGCTGCTGTTGCTGCTGCTGCTGCAGCTGCTGCTGCTGCTGCAGCTGTTGCTGCTTGCGGCCTTTGCTGATGTGTGTTGGGTCTTTCTGCTTCCCTTGGTTTGCTGCTGCTGCAGGTCGAGGGTGCGGCGGAGTGCAGCAGCAGCAACTCCAGCAGCAGCAGCAGCAGGAGAAGGCAGCGATGTGAGCCAGCAGCAGCACGGCAGCACAACCAGCAGGGCCCCAAAGAAGGCCCGCTCAGCACGAAGAAATGCCTGATGGTGTGCCTGCAGCAGCAGCAGCAGCAGCAGCAGCATCGGCAGCAGCAGCTGCTGCTGCTGCTGCTGCTGGTGCACCCCTTGCCGCTGCTGCTGCTGCTGTGGGTGCGGCGTTCAGCAGCAGCCAGCAGGCCATCCAGTCGCTGCTTTCGTGGCTTGCCGTTTGCTGTTGCGGTTGGATGCTGCTGCTGCTGCTGCTGCTGCTGCTGCTGCGCTGCGGCTGCTATGAAGCTGCAGCAAATACAGCAGCAGCTTTTCGAACTTATTGTGCTGCAGCACACGCAGACCTGCTGCTTATGGAAGCATTTCTGCCTGCTGCAGCACCACTGCAGCAGCGCTGCAGCAGCCGCTGCAGCGGAACCACTGCAGCAGCTACTGCAGCAGCACCGCTGCAGCACCACTGCAGCAGCGCTGCAGCAGCCGCTGCAGCGGCACCACTGCAGCAGCTACTGCAGCAGCAGCGCTGCAGCAGCCGCTGCAGCGGCACCACTGCAGCAGCTACTGCAGCAGCAGCGCTGCAGCACCACTGCAGCAGCGCTGCAGCAGCACCACTGCACAGTTGCTGGTGCAGCAGCACAGACTAGGGGGCTCTCAGTTGTTTAGTTTTGTAAACAGCAGCAAACTTTGTTTGCTTCTCTTTACTTTTGAAGGCGTCAGCTGGAAGTAGCTTTAGAGATTTCGCTGCTGCAGCTGCTGCAGCTGCTGCAGCAGCTGCTGCAGCTGCTGCTGCAGCAGCTGCTGCTGTAGTGTTGCGAAGCTGCTTGCTCGCAAACTGAAGTGCCTGGCCTAGCTAGGGCTCCGCTAGGTCGCTAGCTAGCTAGCTAGCTGGCTAGCTAAATCTCAGGGTAGGAAGCCAGCTAGCTAGCTGGCTTCCTACGCGGCTAGCTAGCTAGGTAGCTAGCTGGCCGGCTAGGTAGCTAGCTAGCTAGCTAGTTAGGTTTCTGCTCGTAGAGCTAGCTAGCCAGCTGGCCAGCTAGCTAGCTAGCTGGCTAGCTAGCTAGCTAGCTAGCTAGCTGACCGCTGCCAATATTCAGAAAAGTTGAAAGGCTGGAGAGCCAAAGGCTTCGTTTGCTAAGTGGTCAGCGCCATACGAAAACAAACAAGTATGAAAAAATGTGTTGCTGCTGCCCCCTGCTGCTGCTGCAGCAGCAGCAGCAGCAGCAGCAGCAGCAACAGCACGCGGCTACTTGAGGCCTCTGCTGGTACAAGTGTACGTACACCGCAATCCCTTCCCTATATTCCCAAGAAATAAAACATAAAGACAAAAACCTTGCAAAGCAACAGCAGCAGAAGCAGCAGCAGCAGCAGCTGCTGCTGCTGCTGCTGCATCTGAGAGCACAGAGACAACGTAGGTAAGAGGCGAAACTAAAGAAGGCATCGTGGGGCCCCCAAAGCACTCACTTTACTCTGCATGCATGCATGCATGCATGCATGCATGCATGCATGCATGTCCAAGTGCATGCATGCATGCATGCATGCAAAAAGGCGCATGCATGCACGGGTGCATGCAAAAGTGCATGCGCGCTGCATGCATGCATTCTGTGCATGCAAAAGCATGCGTTCCCGTGCATGCGTTTTGTGCGCATGCGTTCTGCATGCATGCGTTTGCATGCATGCGTTTTGCATGCAAAAGGCATGCATGCGTTTGCATGCAAAAGGCATGCATGCGTTTTGCATGCGTTTGCATGCATGCATGCATGCATGCATGCGTTTGCATGCATGCGTTTTGCATGCATGCGCTGCGCTACAGATGAATGTCTGTACAGTTTTTGCGGCAGCTGCCGAGCAGTGAGTAGCAGCAAATGGGTCTGAGAGCGTTATCTCCCCCCAGAGCTTCTATGATGTGCTGCTTCTGCTTCTGCTGCTGCTGCTGCTGCTGCTGCTGCTGCTGCTGCTGCTGCTGCTGCTGCTGCTGCTGCAGGCTGCTGGTGAGGCCGCTGAGGTCCCACTGACTCAAAGCTGAGGTGTACGTACAGCTCTCCAGCTGCCTCTGTATTTGTCCCTCTTGAGAAGAAGAGACACAAAACCATTTGGGGATGTAAGTTCGTGGGTGTGAGCTGCTGCTGCTGCTGCTGCTGCTGCTGCTGCTGCTGCTGCTCGTCCCTCTCTTTCGCTTCCTGCCAGAGAGACACAGCGTCTCCTCATCCTCCTCTTCTTCTGTTGTTGCTGCTGGGTCTTCCTCCGGCGTTGCAGCTGCTGCTGCAGCGCAGGGAGCAGCAGCAGCTGCTGCTGCAGCACCAGGAGCAGCAGCAGCTGCTGCTGCTGCTTCCGCAGCAGAAGCCATCTCCGCAGCAGCCTGCAAACGGCCGCCTACCCCACTCTTGCTGCTGCTGCTGTTGCTGCTGCTGGCTGTTGCATCCCGCTTCAACCCTCCCTGTGTCACCCCCTTCGTAGCAGCAGCAGCTGCTGCAGTTGCTGCGGCAGTTGCTGCAGCAGTTGCTGCAGCAGTTGCTGCAGCAGTTGCTGCTGCTCCAGCTTCCGATGGTGCATCACTGCTGCGACGCCACGGCCTAGCAGCTGCAGCATCAGCAGCACCAGGCAGTGCAGAAGGCACGCGGGGACCTGCTGCTGCTGCTGCTGCTGCTGCGGTGGCGCCTGCAGCAGCAGCAGCAGCAGCAGCAGCACTTGTCGAGGGAGACGGCGCTGGGTGCGGCGCAGTTGCTGCACTTCTGACAGCAGCAGCTGTTGTTGCGATGGAGGCTGCTGCTGCTGCTGCTGCGTGTCTTGCTGCTAGTCGAATTAGCTGCTGCCTCCTTTCCCGCAGCTGCTTGTTGGCTTGCTGCAGCTGCTGCGTCACCGCGGCCTGAGCAGCGCATGCACGGAGTGTACGTACACCTCAACAGACACAGGGAATTCTCTCGGGCCCTGCTGCTCTAGCTGCTCCACCAGCCGCAGCAGCAGCAGCAGCAGCAGCAGCATCCAATAGCGCAGTCGCAGCTGCAGCTCGCGAGCGCTGCAGCAGCAGTTGCTGCTGCTGCTGCTAGCGCTGCTGCTGCTGCTGCCGCTGCTGCTGCTGCGGCCTCGGCTCAAAACACCCAACCCTACAAGGGCTGCTGTGACACACTGAACTGCATTAGCACCTGCAGCAGCAGCAGCAGCAGCAGCAGGACTGCTGCAGCAGCAAAGCCTGCATGCGCTGCAGTAGCAGCAGCAGGTGCTGAAGCAGCAGCAGGTGTTGTTGCAGCACCGCGACCGGCCGCAGCAGGTGCAGCAGCAGCAGCACACGCCAGCAGCAGCAAAAGCACCGCCATCCGCAGCAGCAACAGCAGCAACAACAGCAGCAGAAAACCGCGAACACTGCAGCAGCAAGCCTCTTAATCGCCTAGCTAAGTAGCTGCAATCGCAGCAGCAGCAAAACAACGGCTACGACAGCAGCAGCAGCAGCAGCAGCAGCAGTAGCAGCAGCAGCAGCAGCAGCAATACAAAGTGCGAGGCAGCAGCTTACGCGCTCAGAAAGTGTCTTCTCAGTTTCTGCTTTTGCTGCATCAAGCTCCCGCTGCAGCAGCTTCGCCTTTGCTGCTGCTGCTGCTGCTCGTGCATGCAGCAGCGCATCTAAAGTTTCCAGCCGGGCCACATTGATGTGCAGCTGCTGCAGCTCCGCCTGTATAGACACTCCATGTGTGCTGCTGCTGCTGCTGCTGCTGCTGCTGCTGCTGCTGTTGCTGCTGTTGTTGCGAGCACCTGGCGTCCTACGCCCCTCTGCTCCGCCTTCAGCAGCAGCGTGCTGCTGCTGCTGCTGCTGCTGCTGCTGCTGCTGCTGCGCCCGATGCTGCTGCCTCACCCCGTTCTCTTCAGCAGCACTTTTCGCAGCCGCTGCTGCTGCTGTAGGGTCTGACGGGGTCACAACAGCCGCCGCAGCAGCAGCAGCAAACACGTCAGCAGCAGGAGGGGCAGCAGCAGGGCCCGCAGCTGCTGCTCCAACAGCCTTCCTTGCTGTTACAGCAGCAGCAGCAGCTGCTGCTGCTGGAGTTGCAAGCGAAGCAGCAACTGCTGCTGGTGGCTGGGAAGAAGCAGCAGCTGCAGACGCTGCGGTTGATGGCGTTGCAGCAGAAGTAACAGCAGCAGCAGCAGCTGGAGCTGCAGGCACTTCAACTGCAGCAGCAGCAGCAGCAGCAACTGCTGCTTCCTTTGCTGCTGCTGGCGTGCATTCGCAAGTTGAGACGTCAGGCGTGAGCTCCGCGGGCTTCAGCGTCGGCGTCTGCTGCTGCTGCTGCTGCTGCTGCTGCTGCTGCTCTTCCAGCAGTTCCTGCTGCTGCTGCTGCTGCTGCTGCGCTTTTTGCTGCTGTAGTTGCTGTTGCTGCAGTTGCTGCTGCTGCTCTTGCTGTTGGGCATCTCGCTGCTGCTGCTGCTGGTCCCGCTGCTTTGCAAGTTGCTTCAGATGCTCCTGGCGTTGCTTCATTTGCCGTTCCTGTTGCTGCTGCTGCTGCTGCTCCCGTTTGTGCTGCTGCTGCTGCTGCTGCTTCTCTTCATCGTCAAAAACAACAACGAGGGATTCTGCGTCTACCCATACGAGTGAGGGGCTACGTTGCTGCTGCTGAACTTGCTGCTGCCAATGCTGCTGCTGCTGTTCTTGCTGCTGCTGCCGCAGCTGCTGCTGCTGTCGCTGCTGAATCAGCAGCTGTTGCTGCTGTTGCTGCTGCAGCTGCGCCTGCTGCTGTTCTTGGCGCTGTGCTTGCTGCTGCTCCTGCATGTGCTGCTCCTGCTGCAGGCAAAGCGACTTCTCCTCCTGTTGCTGCTGCTGCTGCTGTTGCTGCCTGAGCTCACGGAACTGCTGCACTCGCTGCAGCTTCTGCAGCACTTGCTGCCTCGCCTCCAGCTGCTGCTGCTGCTCGCGCCGCTCCTGCTGCTGCTGCTGCTGCTGCTGCCTGTAATGCTCCTGTTTCCGCAAAAGCAGCTCTGGCGTCCGGCCATCCTGCTGTTCAGCAGCATGAACCTCCTGCTGCTGCTGCTGCTGCTGCTGCTGCTGCATCGGCTGCTGCTGTGCAGGCTCCTGCTGCAGCTCCTGCTGCCATCCCTGTTGCTGCTGCCTCCGCTGCCGCAGCTGCCGCATGCGCTGCTGCGCAGCAGCAGATAGCTGAGAAAAGAAGGTGCCTTCTGCCTCTACATGTGCTGCTGCTGCTGTTGCTACAGTTGCTGCTGCTGCTGCTGCTGCTGCTGCTCCCGGGGTCTCTCTTGACGCCGGCGCTGCTGCATCGGTTGCCTCTGGTGCAGTGGCAGAAGCAGCAGCAGGTGCTGCAGCCACGGGAGCAGCAGCAAATGCTGCAGCTGCAGCATTTGCTGCTGCTCCTGCAGCCGCAGGAGTAACAGCAGACGCTGCAGCCTCACACACTTCAGCAGCAGCAGTTGCTGCAGCCTTATCTGCTTCTGCCGCAGCGCTTGTGGGAGCTGCAGCAGACACAGGTGTTACCGCTGCTGCAGTCGCTGCTGCAGCAGCAGCAGCAGGCTCTGTTGCAGCAGCTACGGGCGCTGCAGCAGCAGCAGCAGCTACAGTTGTGTCTAACTGTGCTGCACCTTCAGCTGCCACGGCCAGTGCATCTCCAGAGTTTGCTGCTGCTGCATTAGTACCAGCTGCTGCAGCAGCATCAGCTGCTGCTGCATCAGCACCAGCTGCTGCTGCAGCAGCATCAGCTGTAGCAACATCATCCGCTGCTGCAGCGGCATCAGCTGCTGCAGCATCAACTCTAGCTTCTGCTGCAGCAGCATCAGCTGCTGCTGCAGCAGCATAAGCTGCTGCAACATCAGCATCAGCTGCTGCTGCATCAGCACTAGCTGCTGCTGCATCGGCTTCAGCTACTGCTGCAGCAGCACAAGCTGCTGCTGCTTCAGCATCAGCTTTTGCTGCATCGGCACTAGCGGCTTCTGCATCAGCACTAGCTGCTGCTGCATCAGCACCAGCTGCTGCAGCAGCATTAGCTGCTGCTGCATCAGCGTCAGCTGCTGCATCAGTATCCTCTGCTGCAGCTGCATCAGCAATAGCTGCTGCTGCATCAGCATTAGCTGCTGCTGCATCGACATCGACTGCTGCTGCATCACTCGCTCCTCCTGCAACATTTGCTGCTGCTGCTGCTGCTGCTGCTGCTGCCTGCTCTGTTGTAAGTTCTCCTGCAGGCATATCCGTCGGTGTTTCGGCAGCAACGCCAACAACAAGTGTTGCAGCAGCAGCAGCAGCAGCAGCAGCAGCAACAGAAGCGTCCGGTGCTGCTGCAGCTGCGCCTGTGCTGGTAGTTTCAAGATAGTCTGCTGCGTCTGCTGCCGCCCCTGCAGCAGCGACTGGAGCTACTGTAGCAGCTACTGCAGCAGCTGCAGCAGCAGCAGCAGCAGCAGCTGCTGCTGCATCAACTGCTGCATGCACGTGCGGTCTGTGTGACGGCAATTCTGAAGTGCACTGCGGAGCAGCAGCAGCAGCTGCTGCTGCTGCTGCTGCAGACGTGCTGCTGCTGCGGGCAGATGTGGCCTCTTGCTCGGCACTAGTGCCGTGTTGCTGCTGCAGCTGCTGCTGCTGCTGCGGCTGCTGCAGCAGCTTCGGCTGCTGCGTGTGCTGCTGCAGCTCCTGCTGTATGTGCTGCTGCTCAGCTGCTCTGGGCCAATCAGCAGCAGCTCGCGGCACCCGGCGAGTGCTGCCCCACCGGTTAACTTTGAGTTTGCTGCTGCTGCTGCTGCTGCTGCTGCTGCTACTGCTGCTGCTGCTACTGCTGCTACTGCTGCTGCTGCTGCTGGACTCACCGCGTTGCTGCTCTGGCGAAGACAAGACTTTGCGCAACTGCATTGGCTGCAGAATCTGCTGCTGCACTTGCTGCTGCTGAGGATTCTCTTGCGGGAAGTGTTGCTGCTGCTTCCGCAGCTGCTGCTGCTGCTGCTGTGCATGACGCTGCTCCACCTGTTGCCCCTGCTGCTGCTGCTGCTGCTGCTGTGGCTGCTGCAGCAGCTCCTGTAAACGGGGGCGGCGTGTAGTTGCAGCCGATTCTGGCCTTGAGCGCCAGTAGCGCTGCGCTTGCTGCTGCTGCTGCTGCTGCTGCTGCTGCTGCTGCTGCTGCTGTTCCAATCCATGCGAAGCATCAGGCCCACAGGGCCTGCTGCTGTCGCCGTTGCTGCTGCTGCTGCTGCTGCTGCTGCTGCTTCTGGCGGCGCTGTCGCTGTTGCGTCGACGAATGAGAGCCTCTAGCTCGTGCTGCTGCTGCTGCTCCTCAGCGTGTTGCCGCAGCCACATTTGTTTCTGCTGCTGCTGCTGCTGCTGCTGCTGCTCATCCTGCAGAACTTGCTGCGGCTGCTGCGCCTCTTGCAAGTGCTGCTCCGGATGCATCAGCAGCAGCTGCTGCTGCTGCGCAGCACTATCTGTGCCGTTCACCGTCGCCGCCTCGCTGAGCCGTGGCGGCTGCTGCAGCAAAACTTGCTGCTGCTGCTGCTGCTGCTGCTGCTGCTGCTGCACCGCTTCGTTTTCAAGCTGCCCTTCCTGCTGCTCGCCAGGAAAATGCTGGTTGCTGCTCAGCAGCCCTGGCGAAGGCAGCAGCAAGAAAGGCTCTTGCTGCTGCTGCAGCTGCAGCTGCTCCGTCAGCTGGTTTTGCAGCTGCACAAGCAGCTGCTCTTGCTGCTGCGTTTGCTGCAGCGTCTGCTGCAGCGTGTGCTGCTGCTGCGGCGGCGGCGGCAGGCGCTGCTGCTGCTGCTGCTGCTGCTGCTGCTGAAACTCCTTTGGGGACGAAAGAAGCTGCGCTAGGGACTTTGAAATCTGTCCTTGCTGCTGCTGCTGCTGCAGCAGCTGCTGCAGTCTTTGCTGCAGCTGCTCCTGGAGCCGGATGTGGTGTTGCAGCTCATCCTGTTGCTGCTGCTGCATTTGCTGCTGCAGCAAATGTCCCTGCAGCAGCTGCTGCTGCTTCATATCCTCTTGTTTCCTATTGCAGTCTTGTTGCTGCAGCGGCTGCTGGCGCTGCTGCAGCAGCTGCTGCTGCCCCTTTGGCTGCTGCCACAGCTGCTGCTCTAACGTCAAGTTTTCGACCTGTTGCATTCCATGTTGCTGCTGCTGCTGCTGCTGCTGCTGCTGCTGCTGCTGCTGCTGCTGCTGCTCAGCCGGTCGCCGTCCTTGGACTATGCGGTCAGCCATGCTGCGCGGAGCGCTGTAATCAAAGCTGCAGCAGCTGCTGCTGCTGTTGCTGCTGCTATTGATGCTGCAGTTGCTGCTGCTATTGCTGTAGCTGCTGCTATTCCTGTAGCTGCTGCAGTTGCCGCTGCTACTGCTGCTGCTGTAAGTGCTGCTGCTGTGGGCACTCGTGCTGCTGCACTCAAATGGGAAGGGCTTCGCCGGGATAACGTGCCTGCTGCTGCTGCCGCTGCTGCTGCTGCTGCTGCTGCTGCTGCTGCTGCTGCTGTAGGCTGGGGGCTGCGGGCGTCTCCTGGGGCTCCTCCTGCAGTCTCCGCTGTGATAAGGCCTTTCGCCATACCGACTGTATCCTCCCCTGTAGTCACTGCTGCTGCTGCTGCTGCTGCTGCTGCTGCAGCTTCTGCTGCAGTTGCTGCTGCTGCTGCCGCTGCTGCTGTAGGAGCAGCCTACGCGGTAAGCCTTGTTGCTGCAGCCGCCGGCATAACTCCCGCTACTGCTGCTGCTGCTGCTGTAGGGTCTGCTGCTGCTGCTGCTGCTGCTGCTGCTGTATTCCGGCAGGGGCTCTCTGGGCTGCAGCAAGGGGCCCCGCAGCAGCGCCAAGCCGCTGCTGCGGCGCCCTTGGCCTTCATAATAATTTGCTGGGTGGAATGATCTGCTGCTGGCCCTGCTGCTGCTGTAGTTGCTGCTGCTGCTGCTGTAGTTGCTGCTGCTGCTGCTGTAGTTGCTGCTGCTGCTGCCGCGGTGGCTGCCCTCAAACACTGCGGAGTCACTTGCAAACACAAACCGCGAGACAGCAGCACCAAACTGCGGGGCCCCGCCGCTGCTGTACCGCCGGCTGCTGCTGCTGCTGCTGCTGCTGCTGCAGTTGCTGCTGTAGTTGCTGCTGCTGCCGGCGAGGGGAGGGTTGCTGCTGCTCCTGGGGTCGTGATGCTGCGTCGGCAGCAGCTGCTGATAATCCATTTCTGCTGCTGCGCGGCGTGCAAGGCTGCTGCTGCTGCTGCTGCTGCTGCTACCCGAGCAGCAACGAAGAGCTTCAACCGCGTGGATACATTAGCGGAGAGACGCAGCGAACTGCAGCAGCTGCTGCAGGTGCTGCAGTGCAGCAGCTGCAGCAGCTGCAGCAGCTGCAGCAGCAGCGGCCCTATCAGCGGCAGCAGCAGCGACGAGCGGGCTCCGTATCAAAGGAGTATTTGTTGCTGCTGCGGGCCGAGTAACTTCTGCTGCTGCTGCTGCTAACGCCGCTGCTGCTGCTGGCTATGGCTGTTGACGCTTGTGGTGCAGCAGCAGCAGAGCAGCAGCTAAAATATGAAAAAATATGTAAATGCGTCGGTCTGTGGATCCTTTTCAATTTCAAACAACAAGTCGAAACATTGATTTCCCTTAATTACGGCTCCTCACGCAGCAGCAGCAGCAGCAGCTGCTGCTGCTGCTGCTGGTGCGGGGGCCCTAGTACTGCAGCAGCAAACAATACTCGTCGCAGCACGGCCTCCAGCTTCTACTGGTGGCTCTCGTCGCATTAATTTTGAGATGCAGCAAATCAAAATACAGCCTTCTGCGCCTAATTAAGGGAGTTCAGCAGCAGCAGCAGCTGCTGCTGCAGCAGTTGCGCCGTCGCTGCTGCTGCTGCTCCTGCTGCTGCGACCTCGTGTCTGTGGCTGAAACTTGCTGTGCTGCATTCAATTACAAATTATCTGAACTTCCAGGAAACATAAGAGCTGCTGCAGTTCGCCTGCTGCTGCTGCTGCGCCGCTGCTGCGCTCCCCAGGCCGCGCCTGGCCTTGCTGCTGGTCAGTACCATTAATTGGCGAAGTAGTTTTGCAAATTAGATTAATCAGAAGCTGCAAAGTTTACAAATTAAGTCCTGAGGCCCTGGGGGGGGCTCAAGGGGTTGCCTTGGGGCCCCAGAGGCCGCGAGCGCCCCCGGGTCCAGCAGTTGAGCGAGCAGCAGGAGCTGCAGGCCGTGCTGCGGCTGGTACAGTTTGCTGCTGCAGCACTGGGCTCTCCCAGCAGCAGCTTCTGCTGCTGCTGCTGCTGCTGCTGCTGTGGCGGCAGCCCTCGCGACGTGGCCCAGGGGCCAGCGGTAAGCTTTCTGCTGCTGCAGCTAGACTGGAGCTGCTGGAAATGTATGAGTTGCATTATTGGTTTCATTTGCTGAAGCCAGAGATTTGCAAAAGTCTGGGAAAGGTGTTTTATTTTAATTAAAAATGGACAAAAGAAGTTCAGGAAAAGCCCCTAGAGAGGCCTCTGCGGGCTTTTCAGAAACACAAATTGCTGCTGTGGAGCTGCAGATTGAGCCCTGCTGCAGTTGTGTTCCTGCAGCAATTTAAACCATCTTGCATGCGACTGAGACCCGAAAGTCCAGAAGAAGAAGCAAAAAGAATCAGCAAAGTTGCAATAAGGATGTAAGACAAGGTCTCAGTGCAAACTTGAATTCAAAACAATGCAAGAAGTGGTTTTCTGCACATACGCCTGTGCCTTGAGCTGCAGCTGCGGCAGCAGATCTCTTAAGCTGGCAGGATAAGTTCTGCATTTTTACTTTCCTTTTATTTCCCTTTATCAAGAAAGTTCAGTTACTTCCTTTTTTATTATCCTTCTTCGGCACAGCTCGGTGGCTTCACCAGCCCGGTTTGCTGCTGCGGCCAAGCCCCGCAGCATGCTAGAAATTTGCAAAAGGCTGCAACAGGAGCTGCTGCAGCGGAGCAAAGTGCTGCTTCTGCTGCTGCTGCTGCTGCTGCTGCAGTTCTCCTGCTGCAGCTTTAACTAAGTCAGCGGAATAGCTGAGTGCAGGGAAAGCTGAAGTGGCTCTCGCCAGATCATTCAAATTCTTGTCTGTATCTGTGGCAGTGGCTGCTCCGCCCTGCAGCAAAATGGAGCTCTCGGGGGCTCTAGTGCTGCAGCGCTCTGGTGCTGCAGCGCTCTTGTTCTGCTGCTCTAGTGCTGCAGCGCTCCAGTGCTGCTGGGCTCTTGTGCTGCTGCTCTAGCGCTGCAGCCCTCTACTACTGCTGCGCTCTAGTGCTGCTGGGCTCTTGTGCTGCTGCTCTAGTGCTGCTGCGTTCCAGTGCTGCTGCACTCTAGTGCTGCTGGGCTACTGTGCTGCTGAAGCTGCGCAGCAGCAGAAAAGCCAGAAGCCCCTGGGCGTGGCTACGGGCAAGAGAGCCCGCTAGGGTCTGTGGGACTGTGGGGAGTTTGGGGTGTATAGACACCGCGTCAGCTAGCTGACTCCGCAAGCCTTGAGAAAACTCAGACTGACTCCCAAGGAATTAAGATTGAGTAAACTCAATCTTAACTTCTTGGGAGTCCACTAGCGGGCCAAGATCGACTTGGAAGCAGGTTTAGAGGTGGTCTCTGACAGCGTTTAATTTGCTGGAGGGCTCGGGTTTTAAATGATAAAAAGGGGCTTCAGCTCTGGGACTCCAGCTCATTTCCTAGCTGTTGGCTCCTGCCTTTCTGCTGCCGAGAGCCATTTACTAAAGGCAACTGAGTGTTCTTTTGCTGCCTTTTGGGCCAGCTGGCTAGCCTGGCCAAAGCAAGCTGGCTAGCCAGGCCGAAGCAGCTAGCCCGGAGCTCTTTGGGGTTTTCTGGCTGTGAGCCACCACTGCACAAATTTTGGCTTTCTGCTCTTCTTCACAAAAGCACGAAATTGCTGAAGTTCAGAGAAGCCAGTACGCAACTGAGGGCTTGCGGTGGCCAGTGTAATGGACTGTATTCACTGTAATAATTTTTTGTAAAAAGAACAATTTCAAATGGACATAACTGGACAAAATGCCCAAGTGCCTGTCCTTTGATTGGCAGCCCTCTTGGCTTCTTTGCCATGTGCAGCTTTGGGAATAGCTGCGGGAGTTTCTTCAAATTTTTTCATGTTTTTGTTTTGCCTCGCTTTGCCTCACTGGCGGGCCGTAGGCCTGCGTTGCAAATGTCTTCGGCTTATACGCTCAGAGTTTTCTTGTTTTTCTTTTTTCGCCGCTTTTGCAGCTTTCAGTTTGCTGCACTTGCGGGCGAAGTTTCTTTGAGTGGTGTGAGCCAATTGAGTCTTGAATTCCAATTAAAGGGGGCAAAAGCTCTTGCAATTGAGTCCCGAATTCAAATTGAAAGAAACAAAAGGAAACAAATACTCTTATGGACTCACCAGATTGCTTTGTCTTCCCACTGCCCAGCTAAGAGGCAGCACACCAGCTAGCCACAGCGAAGCCACACTCCTTAGAAAGCCAACTTCCCCGACAGCTAGCTGCTGCACAGCTAGCCAAATTTTATTGTGGCTAGCCAGCAGCAGAGGGGGCCGAACATTGCCCCACTGCCTCAGGTCGAATACCAGCAGCTGCCCCCGCGCTTCCCAGCAGATCTTGGCCTTCGGCAGCGCGCTCTTTTCAGTTTTTTTAATTTAAACTTTTTAAAGTTTTCGAAGCTGCTGCTGCTGCAGCAGCTTCACCTTCGGGCGAGCTGATCTTTAAAAGTCCTCTTCACTGAATTTCACGTCTGCCCGCATGCTGCGCATTAGCCTTTTCAGCTTTCTTTCTAAAGGGCCAAGTGAAGGCCGTTTGCCCACGCAGCTCTAACTGGTCCTTTTCCAAATTGCTGCAGCTGCTGCCCACTTGGGGGTTTGCCTGAGGCAGTGGGGCCTCCCGTGGGTGCACTCTTTACTTGAGCATTTCCTCTTGGAATTTTTTTCTTTCAAGGATTTATTTGCTTCTTGAGCCCGGGGGAATATACCCGGCCTTCTCTGCTGCCAATCTCTCGCAAACTTCCCTACAAGTGTTCCATTTAATCGAATTTTTCTCAAGACCCTCTTCTCCGCTGCAGCTGCTGGAGAGTCCGTCCACAGTGGCTCAGCTCTTTGCCTTGGCAGCAGCAAGTAACTCTTTTTCTTGCGAAACTTTGAGCTGCTGTCAGCCACTCAGGCCTCGCGCTGCACTTCAGCAGCAGCCCCGCGTGGCTCCCCACAGGCCCCTTGACTCCCCTTTCTGCTGCGGAGAGCTGAGGCGCGAAATAGCCCGCCAAGGCTGCTGCTGCTTGCTGCAGCAGTGACAGCTTTGCTGCTGCGCTATTTGTGGGGTATTTGCAGGGGCTTACGGAAAGTGCTGCTCCTCACCCTTTCTTTAGCGGAGCCTCGGGCTGCTCCCCGGACTCTAGCTAGGCTTTTCAAAACTTTAGTTTGTGCTGCAGCAGGCAGCTCATAGGACAGCTGCTGCAGCAAAATTAGCTCCTAATGGGTGAATCATAGCTTCCCAAAACTTGAAAATGCTCAACCCCCCTTAGCCTTCATCCTCGCCCGCCAGGGCCTGCCTTAGCTGCTTCCTTGAAGGGAGCAGCAGCTTCTTTACTGCGAAGCCGTCGGTGCAGCAGCTGCTGCAGCAGCTGCAGCAGCAGTAGCTGCAGCAGCAGCAGCAGGGTGGCTGTGCCTGCAGAGAATTTCGTTGTTAGACTTTCCCCAGTTCGGGCTATCCATCAATTTATTTGTTCTATTCTTATTAAGAATACATTTTGAAAATAAAAAACATGAAGAGCAGCAAAAGTGGTGTTCGTAAGAACGCATTTGGCTGCCAGCGCAGCAGCAGCAGCTTCCCCGAGATCGAGCTGCTGCGCAAATCGCAGCAGCAAGTGTGGGCTGGCACTTCTGAAGAAATTTCAAAAAGAAATGAAATTATATTTTTAAAAGTTCATGTTTTGGAGTTCACAGAGTCTTTCCTGGCCTTTGAGTCTTTCTTATTTTTGCAAATAAATACTTTTTAGCTAATTCGTCCTCTAAATCATTTTAAATAATCCAGAAAGTCCTTTTGAGGAATTTAATTATCGCTGCAGCACGCAGCTCTTCCCCCCGCACTCTAACTTTGGAATAAAGGAGAAAGAATGAAATATATAAAACAGGCTGAGGCTCCTTCTCTCCGCAGCAGCAGCAGCAGCAGCAGCAGCAAAACAGCAGAATTTGAATTGCTGCAGGTGGCTGCGCCGACTGCTGCTACGCAGACTTACTAATTTTTCCTTCCTAATTTATGCAGAAACTGCAGCAGCAACAGCAACTTGAGCAGCTGCAGCAACTGCAGCAACCGCTGCAGCAACTGCAGCAGCAGCTGCTGCTGAGTTGCTGCTGTTGCTGCTGTTGCTGCTGTAGTGCATTTTATCGTTGTTGCATTTAATTTCTTTTTGCTAATTGGCAGCTGCTTCTGCCCTACTGACTGCTGCCTGCTTTCCCTTTGTTGTTTTTTAAATTTCTCTTTTCCATTAAATTTGAACTAAATAACTTTCCCTTACTCCTGCTTTGGCATTAACTAATTAGCTCCCTAGCTTCTCTGCGACTTGGCGTTTTCGGAGCTGCTTCCTGTGTACCGCTGCTGCTGCTGCTGCTGCAGTTACCGCTGCTGCTGCTGCTGCTGCAGTTGGTGCTGCTGCTGCTGCAGTTGGTGCTGCTGCTCTTCAGGGGCTGCCAGGTGCGCTTCTCTTCAGACGTTTCTGTTGTTTGGGGAGAAAAAAGACTAAAAGAGCAACAAAGAACCGGCAGAAAATGAAAAAAGAAAAAGAAAAGCAGAACAACGAGAGCTGCTGAGCTCGAGAGTTCAAATTGCATTATTTCGACACAAGACACAGAAGAACAAGACTTGCTGTTGCTTCCACAGCAGAGAGCGCCGCCGCCAACGCCTCCAAGGGCCGCACTGCATGCAACATGAAAAATAGACAGAAACAACTGCAGCAGCAGCAGCAGCAGCAGCAGCAGCAGCAGCAGCAGCAGCAGGAGGTGTGCTGCTTGCAGCGGCGGCCGGCGCCTCCCCCGCGTCGCCTCCCCCGCCCCCGCCGCTGCCGCTGCTGCTGCTGCTGCTGCTGCTGCTGCTGCAGGCGCCCGACCCCTCCCCCCGTTCTAGGGGCTGGGTAGTTTCTGCTGCTGCTGCTGCTGCTGGAGTTTGTGCTGCTGCTTGAGTTTTTGCTGCTGCGTGAAGAGCTCGTCGTCGCGGCGCCAGGGGTCCCAAGTGGCCCTGCGGAAGTACATGTTGAGGCAGGGTTTTCTGAAGAGAAGTCTTTTAAGTTCCACAACTTCTTTCGGAGAAGGTCTGCTGCCGCTTTTGTAGACTTGCAGCGCAGCAAGCAGCTTCAGAATGACTGGCTTGAGCGTGCCGGGGCGGCGCGCCTCCGCGCGCAGCAGCAGCAGCGGCGCTGCTGCCATCTGCTGCAGCAGCGGCCCCCACCACAGCTGCTGCTGCATCGGCGGCCCCACAACTTGGCAAATACTCCAAAGATAATCCGCAATAAGAAACCTTCTGGCCAGAGGCAGCAGCGCGTAGCCCTGGAAGCGGACTTGGAGTTCAGCAGCAAGAAAGCGCTGGGCGTAGCGCAGCAGAGTTTCACCGAGACGCACTAAGTACTGCTGCTCTCTTGCTGTCAGCCAGTCCTTCAGCAGCAAATAACGAACTGGACTCAGTTTTGTGGCGACTCCAGTGCTGACTTCTGCTGCTCCGGCTCGCTGCAGCTCCAGGGGGAGAATGCCTTCGGCCGGGGCTCGCCGGGGGAGGCGGAAGAAGGGGTGCTGCGCGTAGTCTATGTCCAGGTCTGCTTCTGCTGCTGCTGCTGCTGCTGCTGCTGCTTCTGCTGCTGCTGCCACCCGCTCCGCCAGAAACGCGTCCGAGGGACGCCCCGAAAACGGGTCGCTCTCCGACACACGCCGCTGCACCGCAACAGCAGCAGCAGCAGCAGCAGCAGCAGCCAGTGCAGCAAGGCAGCAGCAGCGAAGAAGCAAAGCCCGCGGGACAGGAGTTAGGGTTTACTGGCTCGGCAAAGGCTCTACGGGCTAGGGTTTAGGGTTTAGGGTTTGAGAGAAAACCCACCCCCACCTAGTTGCCCGTGTCCGGAGCCAACCTTACTCTTTTCCTGCGCCTGGGACCCGGAACTTGGACTTGCTCCTCCTCAGCTGCTGCTGCTGCTGCTGCTGCTGCTGCTGCTGCTGCTGCTGCCTCCGCCTCCGCCACCCCGCCTGCCGCCCCCGCCAGCCACTCCTCCGGAGAAGCCCCCGGCTCCGCGCCCGAAGACGAAGACGACTTCCGGCTCGCCTTCCTGCTGCTGCTCAAGCTGCTGCTGCTGCTGCTGCTGCTGCTGCTGCTGTACACCCTCGGCCCCGCCTCCCCAACCCGCCCAGGGCTCCCGTCGTCCGAGTCCAAAGCTATCCAGTGCATTATGTGCGGCTGCTGCTGCTGCTGCTGCTGCGGCGGCTGGACTGGCCGCGGCCGCTTCTGCGCCTTCTGCGGCTGCGGCTGCTGCTGCGGCTGCTGCTGCTGCTGCTGCTGCTGCTGCGGCGACTGCGCTGGCTGCTGCGGCGCAAGGTGACCCGGATGCGGAAGCTGCGGAAGCTGCGGCTGCTGCTGCTGCTGCTGCTGCTGCTGCTGCTGCTGGCGCTGCCTCATGGCCTCCTCCCGCATGCTCTGGTGGGCCTGCAGCTGCTTGAAGACCTGATCCTCCAGCTGCTGCAGCACAGCGGGGTGCAGCCGCTGCTGCAGCTGCTGCTGCAGCTGCTCGTGCAGCTCGTGCCGCAAGTCCGGGCCCGTGGGAAGCCGCAAATCTATCTTAAGCTTCGACCGCTGCTGCGGCGGCCGCTGCAGCAAAGTGTGGGGCGGCGCTGGCTGCTGCTGCACCAGCGGCGGCATCAGCAGCACCTGCTGCTGCTGCTGCTGCTGCGGCGGCGGCATCCGCGGCTGCTGCTGCTGCTGCTGGAACTGCAGCATCTGCTGCGCGTGCTGCTGCGGCGGCGGAGGCTGCTGCTGCAACTGTTGCTGCTGCTGCAACTGTTGCTGCTGCTGCAACTGTTGCTGCTGCTGCGCCTCGGGCCCCTGCAGCGACTGCTGGGGCTGCTGCTTCTGTGGCGGCGACTGCAGCTCCAGGTGCACATGCAGTTCCTGCTGCTGCTGCTGCTGCTGCTGCTGCTGCGGCGGCGGCGGCAAAAGGGGCAGCGTGCCCCTTGCCCCCTGAGCCGCCGCCTGAAACGGCTGGTGTGGCTGCGTGTTTTGCTGCAGCAGCAGCTGCCGCTGCTGCTGCTCGGGGGGCTGCTGCTGCTGCTGCAGATGCTGCTGCCGCAGCTGCAGCAGCTGCTGCTGCTGCAGCTGGTGCTGCTGCAGCTGCTGCATCAGCATGTGCTGCTGCTGCTCTGGCTGCGCCTGCTGCGAATGCAGCAGCTGAGTCTGCTGCTGCTGCTGAATGCAATCTCCCAAACTTCCCAAGAGCTGCGACAACACTTGCAGCTGGGGAGATGAGACAGTACCAATGTTGCCTTGTTGAATTTGCTGCTGCAGCTGCTGCTGCAGCTGCCCCAGCTGCTGCTGAAGCTGCTGTATCTGCTGCATGTGCTGCGAAGGCGGCAGCTCTTGCTGCTGCTGCTGCTGCTGCTGCTGCTGCTGCTGCATTGGCGTTTGAGGCCGCGGCGATGGCCGCGGCGATGGCCGCTGGAAGGACTGCGGCGGCTGCGGCGAGTGCTGCTGCAGCTGCTGCTGCTGCTGCTGCACCTGCACAAACGGCAGCTGGTGCTGCCTCTGAGGCAATGTTTGCTGCTGCGGCAGCACCGGGTGCTGCTGCTGCTGCTGCTGCTGCGGTTGGTGCTGCCGCACCTGTGGCAGCGGCATTTGTTGCGGCAGCAGCTCTCGGAGCCCCCGCAGTGGCTGACTCGGCTGCTGCTGCTGCTGCAGCTGCTGCTGCGGGTGCTGCAGTCGCTGCTCCGGGAGCGGCCCATGGCGCGGCAGGGGCTGCTGCTGCAGCAGGGGCTGCTGCTGCATTGGGGGCTGCTGTTGCAGCAGGTGCTGCTGCTGCATTGGGGGCTGCTGCTGCAGCGGGGGCTGCTGCTGCAGCAGGGGCTGCTGCTGCAGCAGGGGCTGCTGGTGCTGCTGCTGCAGGCTCGGGCGCATGGCCGACTGCTGCACTGGCTGTTGCGCGTACGCGGGTGGTGCTGCTGCTGCTGCTGCTGCTGCTGCTGCTGCTGCTGCTGCTCCGCCTGCTGCTGCTCCCACATTGTTTCCCCAAGGCCTAGGCCCTGTGACAGAAGCAAAAAAGTTATCCACAAAATCTGCCTGCAGCACCGGCAGCGCAACTCTTCCTGCTGCTTCCTGCAGCACTGCTGCTGCTGCTGCTTCGGAAGCAGCAGGAGCAGCAGCAAACTGGGAGTCCAGCGACGCGCTCTCCGGAGCCCAGCCGTGCGCAGCAGCAGGCAGCGCGCTGCTGCTGCTCGTGCTGCTGATGCTGGCCATGCTGCTGCTGCTGCCCATGCTGCTGCTGCTGCTGCCCATGCTGCTGCTGCCGACGTTGCCCGTGCTGCTCATGTGGCTGCTGCTCACGTTGCCCATGCTGCTCATGTAGCTGCTGATGTTGCTGCTGCTGCCCGTGCTGCTGCTGCCGAAGCCGCTGCTGCTCACGTTGCTGCTGCTGTTGCCGCTGCTGCCCATGGTGTTGCTGCTGACGTTGCCGCTGCTGCCCATGTTGCTGCCCATGTTGCTGCTGCTGATGTTGCTGCTGCTGCCCATGTTGCTGCTGCTGATGTTGCTGCTGCTGCTGCTGCTGCTCACCAAAGACTGGGGGTCCCACTCTCCCCTTTGAGCTTCCTCTGCTGCTTGCTGAAGCAGAACTGCAAGTATTGCTTCTTCATAGGCGGACAGGGACCCGTTGTTTGCTGCTGCTGCTGCTGCTGCTGCTGCTGCTGCTGCTGCTGCCCCGTACTCCTCCCCGTCAGGCCCCGTGGAAGCAGCAGCAGCAGCAGCAGCAGCAAAAGGCCCTATCCCCACTGCAGCAACAGCAGCATCAATTAGCTCTTCTAAATTCTGCAGCGGGTCTTCGTCCCAGGGCTCCTGCTGCGTGCTGTCGCTGGGCTCAGCAGCAGCAGCAGCAGCAGCAGTTGCTGCTGCTGCTGCTGCAGTAGCGGAGTGCGGGGTCTGGAAGCCCGAGGGCCCTGGTGCGTCAAGCTGCTGCTGAGCAGTGCGCTGTGCGTTCTGCTGCTGCTGCTGCTGCTGCTGCTGCGCACCGAAGTCGTGCGGCCCCCATCCCGCCGCTGCTGCTGCTGCTGCTGCTGCTCCCTCCTCGCCTGCTGCTGCTGCTGCAGCAGCAGGCGCTGCTGCTGGGTCGATCTCGTCCAGCAGCTCGCAAAGCCCCGAGCTGCTGGGCTCTTCGTAGCTGCCACTCGAGAGCCGCCGCACCCAGCTGCTGCTGCTGCTGCTGCCAGGTGACCCTGGGGGCCCCCGGGGGCCCCGGGGGCCCCTCAGCCTGCAGTAGTGGACTGCCAGCAGCAGCGCAACAGCAGAGCCAACGGCCTGCAGCAGCAGCAACTTGAGGGGCCCCCTTTTGCTGCTGCGGCGGGTGATGGGGGGCCTGCGGGGCTCCGGGGGGTGGGCGGGGAGCCCGTGCTGCTGCTGCTGCTGCGCCGCAGCGTGCTGCTGCTGCTGCTGCTGCTGCTGCTGCTGCTGCTGCTGCTGGTCGCGCAGCTGCTGCTGCGTGGGGTCGAGCTGCTGCAGCATTTCTAGAAAAGAAACAAAATAAAATTCGGAGCGCGGGCTGCAGCGCTGAGCCTCCGGAGGAGCTTTACAAAAACTAAAAGTGAACAGCAGCAGCTGCGGCGTGCTGCGCTGCGTTGCTGCTGCGCTGGGGTGTACAGACACCGCAGAAATCGGCGAGTTGCTGCTGCTGCTGCTGCTACGGGTTCATCGCCGTTGCGTCTCTGCTGCAGCTGGCCAGGCCGCGGCGGCGCGCTAACCAGCAGCAAAAGGGACAATAAAAGCAAATAAAGAAAAGAAATAAAAGAAAGCAACTAAGGGGGGCCTCGGGGGCGAAGAGGCGGCGAAACGGGAAGTCGGGATGGCTGCGGTTGCTGCTGCTGCTGCTGCTGCTGCTGCTGCGCCTCCCGAGCAGCAGCGCGTGGGGCCAGCAGCTACTTCATGCCTCGCCACTTGCTGCTGCTGCTGCTTTGCTGCTGCGGAACTTCACAGCTGCAGCACGCGCGAAGGAAAGCCTCAGTGCAGCAGCGCCTGCAGACACGGCGAAGCAAGAACACGTTGCTGCGGCGCTGCGCTGCGCTCTGCTGCCATTGCCAGCGGAGTTTTTGAAGAACAAAAACGAAAATAAACTGCTTTTGCAAAGTCCAAAGAAATAAAATACAGAAGCCGCAGCAGTTCGCGCGAACAGAGCTGCTGCTGCAGCCCGGAAAGCTCTAAGGGGAGCGATGCACAGACACCAGTTGCTGCTGCCGAGATCTCGCCGCTCCCGCGCGCTAAAAGGGTGCTTTTTGCTTCCAAAAACCTCTTTTGCTTCTTAAAATAATTGTTAAGTGCATTAAAACTGCCAGTTTGCTGCAGTTCCGCAGAAGGCGCGCCCCCAGCGGCGCCTCCAGCTGCAGTGGACCAGTGGCTAGCGCTCCCGAACCCGCCACGCGGAGGCCCCCGCAGACACCTTAATTGCCCGCCAATTCGCAGCTTTCTTCGCTAAACGCCACTTAATAAAGTCCAGAAAGTCATTTTTGTTCTCCTTGGGGGGCCCCAGGAGGTCTTTTCCAAAGATCTGCCCCGCGCCCCTCGCACTGGTTCCCGCCGGGAGGGAGGGTCTTGTCACCCGCGGCCCCCCCCCGCGCCCCCCGCCCCCGCTGCAGCAACAATGAATTGAATTGTTTTAAAACTAAAAATAAATTAAATAATGCCTTTTAAACTGCGCGAGCCGCGCCGGAGCGCCGCAGAGCCGCCGCCCCAGCACCCCGCGCCGCCCCCCCAACAGACAACGCCCGCAAGCCCTTCCCCCCTTTTTCAACAATGCACAGCCCCTCAAGACCCAATTAAAACCCCAAGAAATGCCATTTAGCACTGCCCCAGCTCAGCAGCCACTGCCTGTTGTCTCGGGGGGCCCCCCGAGGCCGGGGGGGGCCCCCCACAGGGCCCCCGCGCCCCCCTCGGGGGGCCCCCGGGGGCCCCGGGGGCCCCCCAGAACCCCTCGGGGGCACCTGGGGCTTCCCCGGGCTGGGGGGCCCCTCTGGGGCCCCGGGGACCCCTGTGGGGCCCCCCAGCTGCTGCTCGCCGGGGGCCCCCTTGTCTGCTGCAGCGGCGCAGCAGCAGCAGCAGCGCAGCAGCGGGTGCAGCAGCTGCTGCTGCCCCACACACAGCCGCAGGAGCAACGCCCGCAATGAAATAACAGCGTCTAGGGTCTAGGGTTTAGGGTTTAGGGTTTGGGGCCCCCGGGGCTGCTGCTCCTGCTGCTGCTGCTCCTGCCGCTGCTCCTGCTGCTGCTGCTGCTGCTGCTGCTGCTGCCCCCCAGTACACTTGCTACTTTCTGGCCTCAAAAACCCCCCGAAGCTTGGCTCGCAATCAGTTTAAAATGCATTAAATAAATAAATAAATAAATAAATAAATAAAATAAATAAATAAATAAATAAATAAATAAATAAATAAATAAATAAATAGTTTGGCTGCTCACACAAAAGCGGGCCTCCATTTATTCTTAATTGGGCGGAGCCGCCACGCCGCGGCGCTTGTGAAGGCGCATAAACAAACGACTGCTGCTGCTGCTGCTGCTGCTGCTGCTGCTGCAGCTGCTGCTGCTGCTGCTGCTGCAGCAGCAGCTGCTGCAGCAGCAGCTGCTGCTGCTGCTGCCCCAAGGCCCCAAGAGACTAAACCGGCTACACCAAACTTGAACTAAAAGATGAAAAACAAACAAAATCCCAC